AGCACCGGACCCCGCCATAACCACCCCTGACCCTAACCCGGAGAAGAAAACACCAGGCCCCGTGCGTCCCCATTATCCTGCCCTAGGCTCCCGCAAACATCCTCACCTGCAGGCGGGAATCACACAGAAGCAGGCCCAGCGCCACCACTACCGCCCAGCGCAAAGCGCCGCAACAAGTCCCCAGCCAGACCGCAAATCGCAGACCCCCCCCGCACCAATACCCAACGAGATGACGCCGCCCCCCCACGACACCGCAGAAGCCCGCCCCCCAACAGTTCCCGGAGAGCAGCTGAAAAGAAGAGAGCAGACCCCCCAAAAAAATGGTAACTCACCAGGCTGCCCAGGAGACGTCCCAGCAGCCGCGCGTCCAAAATCCACCGGCGCCGAGCGGCCAGCTGTCGCCCCCGGATCGGGTTCCGAGTGAGCCCTGCCAGCGGGGCCGGGGGCCTAGAGACCCGGCTAGCTCGCCCTCCGATCGGTCCTCTGCCACTGTACCTAAACCTCAGGGAAGGACACCCTGGTGGAGGGCGAGAGGGAAGCTCTCTTACCCACGTCCAGCTCCCAACTGACGCCCCTCCCCAGAACACCCCACCCTAAAGTGCAGGAGACCCCACCTACACTCTCCTCTACCAACCAGATCCCCCAGCTATCCTTTACCAACCCTAATACTAACATTAACCCTTACACATCTTCCTTCCCACTCTGGGCCTAGTCATGCCTGCCCTGCGCTAATTCTTTTCTTCTTTTATCGCTGCGGGCATTTCTTTAAAGCAGAATCAAGCTCTCTAGCATTAAAGTGGTTTTAAAGGCTGAAGGTTTTTTTACTTTCATGCATTCTATGCATGAACGTAAAAAAACCTTCCGTGTGCTGCTCCCCCCACAGCTCCCCCTACTACCCACCCAAGCCCAATCTCAATCCAGCAATGTGCACGAGAGCCTTGGCTATCCCAGGCCTCACTCTCTCTCGCCTCACTGGTTGAGACAAAGCCAGAAAAAAAACATCCTTTAATATCACTTTAACTTTTTTAATTCTTATGATGCTAGCATTAGTAAAGAAGTTATATTATATTATATTTTTTTACTTGTTTTTTTTTTAACTTTTTTTTTTTATTTATTCAGTTGCTTTCTTTTTTTGGCCTAGTGTAAAATTACAACATACATCCTAGGAGTCTGGGCATTTTTTTTCTTCTTTCGTCTGGAGGAAGGGCTAAGCACACCCTCCTGTTTACATGCCTGAGCTAAGGGCAGATGGATTCCAGGAAGTAAACACTACACGAATCATCTGTCCCTTACTCCAGATGGCCATGGCTAGAAATGCTAGAGGGTGTTTTTCAATGTTATTTCCAACAGAATAAAACATGAAAACATGGATGGATGGATGAGATTGCTTTGAATAAAAAAATTAATAAAATAGGACTTAGGAGGACTAGGAGATAGTCAGATATGCTGCATGCAAATGGAAGAAGAGAGCAGAGCAAGCAGAGGCAGTACTTCATGTACACATATCCCCACTATTTGATAAAAAATACAGTTGAGTGACATCCAAGCACCTAAACCCCCCTAAAATTATCAGATGGGGGTTCAACAATGAACTGCAGTAATAATTGCGCCGAAAAGGTTTTTGACTCCTCGCTGTACATTATAGGGGGGACGGAACCATGAAAGACAATACAGTAACAAAACAGGGGATTCCCTGCTCTTTCGAGCTTACAATCTAGGAGGGAGGGGATAGTGGTACAGGAGGAAGTGGCTGTGGGTGATGGAGTGGTGGGAGGAGTGGTGCAGATCGGCTGTTAGGTGAGGGCGGGGTAGGCTTCCCTGAAGAGATGGTTTTTCAGGGTGCGCCCAAAGGTGAGGAGGGTAGGTGACAGTCTGATGTTGATAAGGAACATACTAAGGAACATAGTTTAGTAGTGTCTGGGGTTAGGAACGAAAATATTTTGGAGATATTGCGGAGGTGGAGCCTGCATGAGTTTGCCAATAATTGGACATGGGGTTGGAAGGACAGGTTTGAGTCTAGCGTGACACCTAGGACTTTGGCTTGCAGGGTGGGACTGATGGTGGCATTGTTGGTCGTGATGGAGAGGGTGGAGGGGCACGGGCTGGGGGGAAAATCAGGAGCTCAGTTTTGCACATGTTAACCAATTCAATACCGGGCAATTTTACACCTTCCTGCCCAGGCCAGTTTTCGGGTTTCAGCGCTCTCACACTTTGAATGACAATTGCGCGGTCATACAACATTGTACCCAAACTAAAATTTTATCATCTTCTTCACACAACTAGAGCTTTCTTTGGTGGCATTTAATCACCGCTGGGGTATTTATTTTCTGCTAAATTAACAAAAAAGTCCAAAAATTTTGAAAAAAAACACACGTTTTTCTTTGTTTCTGTTATAAAAGTTTGCAAATAAATAATTGTTCTTCATAAATTTAGGCCAAGATGTATTCTGCTACATGTCTTTGGTGAAAATAACCCAAATTAGGATGTATTTTTTAGTTTGTAGGAAAGTTATAGAGTTCACAAACTATGAGATAGATCTGAATATTGATCAATCCTGAAGTACTGACAGCCAATCTAATTTCTTGAGGTTCAAGAATGTCAGAACAGTACAGATATCCCCCAAATGACCCCTTTTTGCAAAGTAGACAGTCCGACGTACTTCATAAGAGGCATGGCGAGTTTTTTTAAGTTGTATTTTTCGGAAAAGTAAAAAAATTAAAAAAATTTGTTTCACTATTTTTTTTTTACATATTGTCACCAGTGCAGAACAGCGTCATCATATAACTGGCATGGCGGTGATCAGGGACACTAACTGGTGACAGTATGAAAAATATATATATATTTTTTTTTTTTGTATTATTATTTTTTATTAAAATTTTATTTCTTTTTTTTTAAGATTTTCTTTTCATATTTCACTATGACCAAAGTAGTACAATGTTACCATAGTAACATTGTACTACTTTGGGGAAGTGATCAGTATTGTTTTTTTTTTTTGTTTTTTTTTTTACCAATTTGCTTATAGCAAAGAATTACTTTGCTGTAAGCAAGCATTTACCTGAATGACATCGATTCATTCAGGGTTTTTTTTTTTGTGCTTAGCTGTGATTTGGCCACAGCTAATCACATGACATGTGCATGTGATTAGCTGTGACCATTCACAGCTAGATACTAGTATACAATGGATGGCATGAATGAAGCCATCCATTGTATACAACTGTCATCTGACCTGCTGTGATTGGTCACAGCAGGTCACATGGTACCGGCAACGGGGGCCGATACTCAGATCTGTCATCGGCCATGTCCGAGGTACATGGCAGGTGACAGATCGTGCCGCTGCGCTGCTCTGCAGGAGCGCAATCTGCGCATGTGCGGGAGGATGCCATATGGCGTCCACCCGGAACACTGATGACATTTGCCGGCCGCCATTCGGCCATAGGGCGGGCGGCAAATGGTTAAATATTGCCTTGTATGTCAGGGTGGCTAACTCTAAATGGATGAACTGTAGGAGCTTTTAAAACCCAGATAATTCCCATTGGCATACAGATTTGACAAGGAACTATATTTATGGCAAGCTTGCAAAATATTTGGTTTTTATGATTAATCATAATTAATATTAAAATGTGTGGTTGGCCTTGAACAAGCGATAGAGTTGAATTCTTCAGTTCTAGCTAAGCCAGAAAAATGTCAGAGTATCTGGAGTTAAGTTAACTAGCTGGAAGCTGAGTATTTAGGACATTTCTATAGATGGGCAAAGCTGGTTAAAAGATCTCTGGTGTAGGGTGTCATTGGAGTCAGAAGTAAACCAAAATAGAATTAGTATGAAATAATATATATTCTAATAGTATAAGTGTGTATTTCATTTATGCTTTATAAGTGGTAATATGTGTTACATAAGTAGATTTTTGGTTATACAACATTATTGAGATAATATGTTGTAAAGATAGATTCTTAGTTATACTATCCTTTAAACAGAGAAACTGGTCACATGAGTAGGCTGATGCAACATTGTCGATTTATGAAGCCACTACATATGGGCTTGTCAATCAAAAAACCATATATGTAGTATCCCCTCCTTTCAATGAAATCGCTCTACTAAGCAAAATTGTTTGCCATACAAGGTTAAGAGTTATGAGAATTATGACGTCTACATGTAACATAAAAAGACATCCTAAGAGATGCGAAGGGCAATTCACAATACACAACACATCCATCCATCCATTCACACACATACAGACACACTCATACACAAGCATGGCATGAAGACGCTATGGTTATTCACAAACTGATAAGCTGAAACAGGTGCATTCTCTTAGAGACCTAAGATCATGTCACTTCCTTCTTCTTGCTCAGACTCACACTGCATTGAACAGACAAGAAGCACATGGCAGGACAGCCATGACAATAAGGTTGAATCATCTTTATAACTTCTCTTTTTTTCTATTTTTGCTTTATCTACACTGAACTGTTATTCATGATACATTTTACATTGTTATTTTAAGCCATTGTGTGATAAAATAAAATCACACTTTATATTTATTTTGCCGGCTCTTTAATTATCCGAAATCGCCTATAGACACTAAAGAATGATTATATGTGTCTCAGAAAATTCTACAGTATGACAGTGGTGGCAAGGGGAGGGCTTTCTTTCAGTGGCAGTGTCTGCGGGGTGAGAAGGGAGCAATGTTGGGAAGATATGGGTCTAAGTCATGTCTGTCAGCTGGATGTATGAAATGCCATGGGGGAGATGTAAGCTGGGTGGAGTTGGGGGCTAAGACATGGTCAGATAGTGATGTTTATAATAGAGAAAACTAATGTGCTACTAATATAATATATACAACTAACAAATACAGCAGTACTACTAAAATAAAACAACCTCAGGTTCTAAGATGTAAATATATACACTATATTGCCAAAAGTATTGGTACACTCCTCCAGATCATTAGATTCAGGTATTCCAATCGCCTCCATGGCCACAGGTGTATAAAATCAAGCACCTAGGCATGCAGACTTCTTCTACAAACATTTCTGAAAGAATGGGTCGCTCTCAGGAACTCAGTGAATTCAAGCGTGGTACCGTGATAGGTTGCCACCTGTGCAATAAGTCCATCCGTGATATTTCCTTGCTACTAAATATTCCACGGTCAACTGTTAGTGGTATTATAACAAAGTGGAAGCAACTGGGAACAACAGCAACTCTGCCACAAAGTGGTAGGCCACGTAAAATGACAGAGCGGGGTCAGCACATGCTGAAGAGCACAGTGCGCAGAAGTAGCCAACTGTCTGCAGAGTCAATAGCTAAAGACCTCTAAACTTCATGTGGCCTTCAGATTAGCACAACAACAGTGTGTAGAGAGCTTCATGGAATGGGATTACATGGCTGAGCATCTGCATCCAAGCCTTACATCACCAAGTGCAATGCAAAGCATCGTATGCAGTGGTGTAAAGCATGCCGCCACTGGACTCTAGAGCAGTGGAGATGTGTTCTCTGGACTGACAAATAATACTTCTCTGTCTGGCAATCCGATGGACGTGTCTGGGTTTGGCGGTTGCCAGGAGAACAATACTTACCTGACTGCATTGTGCAAAGTATAAAGTTTGGTGGAGGGAGGATTATGGTGTGGAGTTGTTGTTCAGGGGTTGGGCCTGGCCCCTTAGTTCCAGTGAAGGGAACTCTTAAAGCATCAGCATTTCAAGACATTTTGTCTTGGGTTGGCATTTTGTGAGCCTTTGGGAACAGTTTGGGGATCCCTTATGATTAAGTCAGGTGACGAAACATGTCAAGGAAAGTATTGTCAGATGCACAGAGGAACCGGAAGTGATCCAGCGGCCATTTTAGAATCTGGCAAAACCTCATAGAAGTTCACATGGAGGAACCAGGGAACTCTGAGAGGTTTGGATATTCTGATAAAGGCTATTTTAAAGAGGAATCATGATGTAAGCATATTCAATAAAGTATTTTAAATTGTATATGCGGGTTTACACTATGATTTATTCTATATATGGTGGGCATCGGTGGATTGGTGGAGATTGTTGATTATACTTGAAAGCTGCTATATCTGGATGACATCTTGATCTGATCCATGAGACTGTGATGATCCTTGGGTTGAAGCAGAATTTGTGGTAATACCCTCGCCTGGAGGTGTAAAGGCATATTATTTACATATTTTTGGTAAGGGTATTCACTCCTTACACCATAGATGTGGACACAGTGTTTCACAGGTTTCTTTGTGAGCCATTGAAAGGCTAAATATGAAGATTGATGATTGAAGTTGGCACAGAGTGACTTTTTATAATATTATATTTATTTTTATTGTACTTCCTATTCTTTTTTTGGACTTTTTTTTTTTTTTTATATATTTGTGTGATATATACTTTTGGGAATATTTGTATTAGCATATTCATATTCACAGTTTGGGGATGGCCCCTTCCTGTTCCAACATGCCTGCGCACCAGTGCACAAAACAAGGTCCATAAATTGAGCGAGTTTGAGGTGGAGGAACTTGACTGGCCTGCACAGAATCCTAACCTCATCCCAATAGAACACCTTTGGGATGAATTAGAGTGGAGAACTGCGAGCCAGGCCTTCTCGTCCGACATCAGTGCCTGACCTCACAAATGCGCTTCTGCAAGAATGGTCAAACATTCCATAGACACACTCCTAAACATTGTGGACAGCCTTCCCAGAAGAGTTGAAGCTGTGATAGCTGCAAAGGGTGGGCCAACTCAATATTGAACTATATGGACTAAGACTGGGATGACATTAAAGTTCATATATGTGTAAAAGCAGGCATCCCAATACTTTTGCTAATATAGTGTATCTATATAAGCAAGCCCCTAGCACTCTGTGTATGTCCAGATAATGTGAAGTTAATTCATGACCACTCATTTAACCCTGAGTTATTTAGGCTCTGAGTCCACAATGAAAAGTGTAAACTCACCACATAAACACAGGGTTAAATGAATGGTCATAAATTAACTTCCCTATCTGGACAGAGTGATTGGGGATGTTTATTTAGATAGGACTGTCTTCCAGGTTGAGAGATATCTGTCAGTAGTGGGGGCTGCAGACTCCCCCCTCCCCTTCTCACTGTCTCTTCCATTCTCCTTGTCACTTTAACCCTTCACTGCATCACCTATAAAACCCTAACAGAAACTTTGGCAGCTTTCTACCTAAGGAGATTTTCCTCAAAACAACTCAGCTCACCTCCTCCCTGCCTGTAGTGTGAGCAGCAGCAAGCCAACAGTTGGTACAATGTGCTCCCGATTCTCTCAGCACACCGCACTGGTGATGGAGGATAGAGTCAGAGATCTCACAGGGATTGCGAGAATATGCTCATAGGAACCCACTCTACTGACCCAGGCCCTCGGGCAGTGCCCTACTGCTGGAATAATCACTCTGTCTGATCAGAGTGGAGGAGAAGCCTAGGCTCCATCAGCTCTTTGGTGTGCTGTCCTGATAAGCAGCCAGCACCTTTCCCACCTGCCTGTCACAATGATAGATTGGTTCATTTTGGGCACCAGTACCCAAAGGATATGCAGGGCAGGTGGCCAGAGTAGCAAGCCCCGGCCGTCCCCCTTGGGATGTCCGGGACCCCACAGGTGTATAGGCTGTCCCCCCCTGATGGGGACTCTGGTCAAGGGGATGAGTTTAAGTCTCCTTCCACTAAATCTGCAGTGGGAAGGGTTGGCATTTTGTGAGCCTTTGGGTGGTGAAAATGGCTTTGCCAGAATTCTCAGCTAAGTTGTCATAAGTCAGTTGCTTTGAGGGGCCAAATTGTTTGTTTTGTTCTTTGCTTTTTCAGCTTGGAAGGGCTCTTTTCTTACTGGCTCTCCTTCTGGTTGTATGGATGGCTGAGAAGTTTTGGTGTCCTCTGCAGTAAGGGGGGTTGGAGTGCCTTCTTGAATTCATGGTCTTGGGTATGTATTCTGGAGCCTCAGCCTGAGGGTTCCTAGATATGTTTGTAGCACTACCCCCATAAGAGTTGCAAGAGATTTGGGTCCCCCTATAGTCCTGCACAGCCAGACAACATGCATCTTCACATAAACTTGCATCCAGAGTTGGAGATCAGTTCTTGAGCTTTGGTTTTGTTATTTTTATTTAGGGGATTTAAACTGGGATAGGGTTAGGGGTATACAGGATGCCCAAGGAAACTGATGAACTGTAGACATCTTCCTGAAACTACTTCCAAGCATTCACTGCAACACAGTTGCTAATGGAGGACTAGCCAGCCTCTCCTAATGTACCACCCTAGACCCTAGTTGAACTTTTCTTCTTCACCCAGCAATCTGAAGGTATCCCTGAACAGGGGATCTGGTTCCTGTCACTTTAAGAGATGGACAGTCACTGACAAGTTGTGAATCTGGTTTCCCACCAGAGTGCTCCTTCCCCTACCCACCCAGGGGGTGCAGGGGTATTCATTCAGATTCTCTGCTGTACCGCTGGTGGGTTGGTGGCTGTTACCAGGCCACTTCACTGCTCTCCCCTTCATCTGTGTCTGGGGGCAAAAACTGAGATCTATTCATCGTGCATAGCCTTTGAGAAACAATGTGAGTAGGCCATAAATCTGGTTGCTGGGGTACAGTATACAGACTGCCTCCATTAGTGGTAAGAGGCAGTTTGGGTGCCAGGTCTTCCTTCTCAGCAGTAATGTACCTGTTTTTTCATCTAAGCGGATCAGGTATACCAACAATCTGGGCAACTGCTTACAGATAATGTAGGGCTGGGACTTCCACCAAGCGGCTAACGTATGCTTCCCAGGGACACCCAGATTCCTCAGCAGAATTGATCACCGGGTTGCAAGTCTTGCACCCTCACTCTCAGATCAATTGTTCACTTATTTCAATGTCTGAGGCCACCTGATGCATTTTGGAGCAAGGTCTTTGTCTCCAACTACTGCTGTCCGGTACCTGGCTACATTAAAAAAATAATTTTCATTAAAATCTTTTTTTTTAACTTCTGGTTCCGGCACTGTATGGAGCGGAGGTGAGCCATCCCTGCTCCCACAGCGTTCCTCTACTGCTGCTGTCCAAAGCCCTGCCATACTTTGGGGGGGGGCCCCCCCTCTCTGCCTGTGGCCCTGGGAATCCATGGACCACTTCGTAGAGCAGTCCCAATCCTGCTCTTCCTCAGTCCCTCACCTGTCACAGGGGGACACAGCGGCCGCTGCAGCCAAGTTGGCCACCACTGAAATCATGCCCACTGACACAGGGGATCAGCAGAGCCCTCACCAGCCACAGCCTTCTACTCCTCAGCCTCCAGACCCAGCCTCACCAGCTGGCATCGCCCACGCAGTTATGGCACTCCTGGCACCTACTCTAACGGCAGTGGTCGACAGTGCTGTTCTTAAAGGGCTAGAACAGCTACACAAAGATCTTCATGCTCAGGCACAGCGCATTATGCAGATGGAGGATAGGATCTCTTCCACTGAAGACGATTCATTGGCTGTTTCTGCGGCAGTAGCCCGACTCACCACGTTCCAAAGAGATCTTCAGGATAAGGTAGATGATCTAGAAAACCACTCACGGTGGAATAATTTGCGTATTATAGGCCTGCCCGAGTTGTATTCTTCCTCCATGCTGATCACCATATGTGCTACATCCATTCTGGAGCACCAAGGCCTGTGACACCCCTGTGTGGTTGAAAGAGTCCACCGGATTGGTCAGTCATCTGACTCACGCACTAAACCTTGGCTGATGATTGTCCGCTATCTGAACTACGCTGACAAACAGGCCGTCCTTCAGAAATTCCGGCGCACACATGGTTTATCTGTGGATGGACACCAACTACACCTGTTCGCAGACTACTCAATGGAGGTTAAATGTTTTAGTGTGGCCTGCGTCTCTTTATGGGAAATTACTTCCTATCTGAGGAGAATCTCCTTACTTACTGTCTATGTCAGAGAGAGCATAAAGCAGAGGGAAATTCCCCTAATTGGGGCAACAAGCAGCAATGAAAATATATTTTCTAGTAGGGTGAGCAATATTTAACACCTTCCTACCTGGTTTATAGCAGATTGACGGCCAGGCAAGACACTCGCCGTTGTGACTGGGCATCATATGACGTCCTGTCAAAACAAGCCGCTCACGCGGCCGCGGGGGCCGCGCTGCTTTGCGAGCTGTCACCGGCTGTGTCCACGGAACACAGCCGATGACATATGACTACACTGGCCCGTTACCAGTGTCATGTGACCACTGTGACCAATCACAGCTGATCACATGTCAATTGTATACAATGGATGGCTTGCTGTCATGCCATCTATTGTATACAACTATGTTGTTAGCTATAATAAATATAAATGCTTGTGAGCTACTATGGCGTATTTAATTAAAATAAAATTATTACTAATGTTGTGGTTCACTGACACGTTTTACACATACCCAT